AAAAATAATTTTTACATAGGTGCTTTCCAATCCATAATTACAACTCCTGTTAGACTGCTCTTAAACCTCAACACTCATTCAACTTGAGTTCAGAAAACAGAGATCCATTTTTATTATGAAATTATTGCACGACTCATTTAAAACTAGTGGTCTTAGAAACTCAAAGCCATGCATTTATTTATAAAAGATCACGAACCACTGAGAGAATAATTGATTACTAAATTATCCTGGCACCTTTTGGTATTATTTCAGCCAATAATTCATCAACTTCCTTTGCTCACTGTTAACAGTAAATACATTAAGAAAGTGAATACCAGTCGTATTATGAAGTGAAAGGGTTAATCATATCATGATATTTAATGATCTTATTTAGAGCATTACTGCTAGACTTCTTTGAAATTCTTTTGAAAAACTGGAGTTTTCAATTTTAGGTCTATGCAAATTCATGTGAGAAACATAATTTCTATTATTTTTCACAATCCTGACCATTCTGTATATTAGAAGCATGGGTGTTATAAGAGTACTAGTTAGACAAATGTCGAATCCTACTCATGCTATGTTCCTCCTAAATTTAAAATTATTATTTTAAAGTAATGGGCATAAAGTTCCTTTCCAGCCCTAAAATTCTATGTGTCTATTATTAAATTCCTATGAATCAGGGGTCTCTACTCTCTGATCTTTTCCCCTACTACAAAAAAAGCACAAACCTGCAGCCTATAGTATTTTGTTATTAAAGTTTCAGGAAACTTACATCCAGAGATGATTGACTAAGAGATAGATAGATAGACAGACAAAGGAAAGTAGATATTCAAACCTTTCAGATATTGGTTAAAATAAACTTTGACCCTAGATTAGATTGATAACAATATTTTGTTAGTTTTAAGGACAACAAATATTAATTACAGAATGGCAGAAGGGTACAGCAGGGTAATGAAACATTAGGGCTACCAAAGGCCTACAATTGAGTAAAAAATTATGTGGGCTAAAAAACAAAAAAGGCCAAAGAACAAAAAAATATGTTTAGAGTTTTAATATTCCCTAATGCAGATATTAAGGATGTTCCTTACTCATCTGTCACTTACTTTGCATATATTTGCCTTCAGAGTGCAGAATAATTTCTCATATGCAGACTCTGTTAAGACAGGAACAGCTGCTAACCACAATTTTTCTAACATTTTTAACATAATAATTAACAAAGATGAGAATTTGCAAAAGTTCATTCAGAGCTCTCATAAAAACACATACAAAACACCTTGAAATTCTTTAATGAAGTCATGAAACCTTTTTACTCAAGTTTATTTGAAATATGTGAGTGTGAGGCCCTCCCTGGTGGCGCAGCGGGTTAAAGCACAGCACTGAGAATCTAAAGCCACTTCCGCATGAGTTCGATTCCCGCCTGCCCCGGAGGTGACCACATGGCGTGGCAGACCTCTCCTGGCCCGCCCGCTGCTCCCCTCAGCAGTGTACTTCGTCAATCTGCCTGTTCTGCTCTCCACTCTGTCTCTGGTGAAGCCTCTCGCCACCCCTGAGCCTCTGGCCTGTACCCCAGTTCTGTATGTACAAATAAATCTTTAAAAAAAAAAAGAAATATGTGAGTGTGAAACAGACTAATAATCAATTTACCATTAATATTAAATATGGATAGAAAGATTTTCAAATTACAACATATCAATATAGTCTCAGATCTAGTTTTCCTGTTGCTACTAGGATAGTACAATACCATGTTAATATCTGTGGTATGATTTAGTGTCTTCCATCTGTATCTTTGTTTAAAAAAAATTGTTTTCACATAGAAGAACTAGGGTGTATGTAAGAGGTGAGGTGGTGGGAGGATTCATCAGAGACAGATTTGGGGGCAGAACAGGTGGATCTACTGAGATACACTGTTGAGGGGAGCAGTGGGCAAGAGGAGAGAGGTCTGCTGTGTTATATGTGATTGTAGTGGTGATAGAGCTAAGACTTAACCCTTAGGTCACTAGGAAGCCCTCAATCTGTGTGTTTATCAAAGTTTTTTTCATCATTTTACAAAATACGATTTTGTTATGGTAAAGTAATGTGTATCTTGGATATAGTGTTAAAATGAAGTGGTTCTGTCTTAACTTACTTGACATTTTTTGCATTTTCTGGTATTAAAGTTTATCACCCCAATGTTATCATAATTAATTTTCCATGTTGTAATGGAATTTTAGTCATCATTTATTAAGATAGTCCCCTTCTCAATCATCTTTGCTCATTAAGGCATAACAATATCCTATTGATCTGAATTGGAATTCAAAGTTTTGAATGCTAAATTTTGTCAATGAGTCAACCATAAAATTATCTCCATGCTTTTAGGAAGTGCTATAAGTATCTGGATGAAATGAGAGATCAATAGATATAATCACAGGAGTATTGCATATTTTCAATGAACCTCAATGTGATCAAGGAAATTGTTTATGGTCCATTAATGCATTCTGTCAAATTAAGCAAATTCCCTACCTTCTTGCTTTCATGCTTGTTAACTGAATAACTTACAAGAGAAGAATTAACTATATATCTCTTCCCTGTTTTACTGGAAAAAATGTCTTTATAGGCAGAACTAAGGGCTCCCCCACATTTATATATGCTGCTAGAGAATCTGGGGTTTCCTTGCCTGGAACTCATCTAGTTGTATACTGGTCAAACACCCCACATTTCTATATTATTTTAAAATTTATTTGTATATATTTTATATCATTTTAATTTTTAAACAATCTTGAGTTCCCGCCCACCCCAGGTCTAGACCCCATAGAATTTCCTCCCCAAATTCACCCCTGCACCATCACCACAGCCCCCTGTGTTCCTCCATCCCTCCTTCCAATCCCTCTCTTTCCACCTCCCCTGCAGGATGTCACTTGTTTATAATTGTCTGTCTGTGTGTGTGTGTTTGTATTGTTATTATTTTCCCCTATATCTTATTTGGTTCCCCTATATATGCTATAAGAGAAACCATCTGATATTTTTCTTTTTCCTCCTGACTTATTTCACTGACCATGTCCCTTCCAACTCCATCCATGTTGCTACAAATGGCATGAGTTTATCTTTTTTGATTGCTGAGTAGTATTCCATTGTGTATATGTACCATATCTTCTTGACCCAATCATCTATTTGGGGACATTTGGTTTGTTTCTTTACCTATTGTAAGTAGTAACTGCAGTAAACATAGGGGTGCAGGTATTCATTTGAATTAATGTTTTTTATGTCCTTCGTGTAGATCCCTAGAAGTGGAATTGCTGCATCATATGGTAGCTCCACTTTTAGCAGTCTGAGAAACCTCCATACAAAAAATCCCACCTTTGTATTAGAGATTGATTTTGGCCACAAGATCTTTGAAAGTGGGGGTAGATTCCCAGAGCTTGGGTAAGAGTAGATGAATGGGTACAACTGCTTAAAAAAAAAAAAAGCCTCTTGCATATTCTAGCAGAGATTTTGTTTAAATAATTTCTAAATCTTTATGGGAAATGACAGTTGGTCCTCCAAAAATGTCCTTAAAAGTTTTCAAATCTAAGAAGTGTTTTCTCTAATATGGAACTTTAAAGTATAGGTATAGAGATATTTATCCATTTGCCTCTAAAATCCAAATCCAGGAAGTGCATTTAATGATTCTAAGGGAAAAAATCAAATAGATCTTTCATTATAATTTATAATAGAATCAAATTTGAAACAAACTCAATGTCTAATGTTTAATAAATTATAGTACATTACCATGGTATACCAACATATAACCACTATACTTTATAAATATGCTATGAAGAGAAACATGGCAATGACTATAATTGTCAATGAGTCAACCATAAAATTGCCTCTCATTTCATCCAGATACTTATTGTTGTATAGCACTTCCTAAGAGAATGAAGGTAATTTTATGGTTGACTCATTGGCCAAGAAAGCCTAGAGGAAAACTCAAAGAAGAGAAAACAATTACAATGTTAAATGTTAGTAACATGGATGTGTTGATTTCTTTCAATCTTTGGGGGGAAAAAAATAGTTTACCCATTGCCCAAGATTTTTCAATCAGTCCCTGCCCCCGAATACTGTTAGTGTTTTTGATAGCAGATGAGACAAGGTCAGGCAGGTAGAGATACTAATATCAAAATGCCCATAATGTATGGGAGCAGAACCACTGACCCCTGTACGAATGAATCACATCAGGCAAATGAATGGGGCTGCCCATACAACCATTATGTTTCTAAAGCTACATTGCTACTGCAATGGTTTGAATTCACTCCCTTATCCCTCTGTTTAAAGCTTTTACCTAAAAACCATGCCCTGGAAATAATTCTTTAGTTGTTTCCTATATGGCTTTAAACATTATTTATATCCCCATAGTATACTAAGTGATAGATGAAATATTATGCCATTCTAAAAAATTATTGATAATATAGTAACCCTTTTTTGTGCACACTTTACCTCAGAGTCTAATATGTATTATCAAATTAAAGTACAGTTTCAAATTGGAGCCATGTTCTTATGTTTTATTCTGCTTATTATGTACAGAAGTCTGTGTATAAAGAGATTAGCTTTTTGTGCTGGAACTGAGAACCAAAGAACTGACTAGTTTGTTTCTTACAACATTTTTGGATGCTTTTGTGATCTTACAGATAAATATATTTTACTTGAATTCACAACTGTGCTTCATCAAAGTATAGCATGTGTGTTGTAGAGTTGGAATAGAAGATAGTAATTAATGACTTTCAACTATAAGTTCTTTCAAAAGTCATTCATTATAATTACAGAATTGGTTAGACTATTTGTAAGGCAAGAGAATCTATGTTATTAGTATTACTTAGACTACACACAGGCAAATTAAATTCAAGAATTTCTGTTAAAAATGAATTATCTGTGTTTAATAATAATTTTCTAAGGATTAATATTAATAATAAAAATTAATACTGATTAATAATAACAAGCCTAAAAGAGGGAATTAAAAAATACTCATGAAAGTTGTCAGGTTATAATCTGTTCACATGCATGTTTTTCAGGTGGAAGTGAATCCTCCTGGGATAAGGATAAGATGCAGTCACCTCCAGCTCCTGTACCCCAACATGGAATTGTTCATGCGGCCCTGGCTAGCCAACCAGGCCTTGGGGGTGCTCCTACCCTCAATCCACTGCAGCAGAACCACCTACTAACTAATAGTATGTATACTGCACTACCAAAATTGTGTCTTGAGAAAAATACCATGCAAGGTCCACTGAGCACCTTGGACTAGGAAGGATAGCCCATGTTTTCAATAAGGGTTAAGAAGAAAAAATAGAAGGGTATATAAATATGGGTTCATTTGAAAAGGTGGGTTTTATAGTGAAGAGATAGACTGAAAAATGATATGACACATTAGAGGTATATGGAAGGCCATGTAACAAACTAATGAAGAATATTGGCTATAGTCAGAAAAATTTGAGTTTGGTTTCTCTAGCTTTTCAATTGCATACCACCATGTGATTTTTTGAGAAGTCAGCTATGTTTTCCAAACTTTGTTTCCACATCTGCAAGGTGGTAGTAAAAACATATACACTTGTTAAGTTTATTATGAAAATGAAAAATAATAAAGGAAAAGTTGTTAGCAGTGAGTTGCATGTAATAAGTGATATGTAATTTATCAATATTATTATATCTCAGTAATAAATCTATATCCAGTAGAATCGAATTCTGTTTTATATGATGTTATTAGGAACTTCGAAGACTCAAACTTCTATAGGAAAACAGACTTTATATATATTGCTTGGCTAAAATCCTATTTTCTTAAAGACAGGACATGTATGAGAAGAGTTCCACTGTTTCATTATGTGAAACATTCATTCTCCCAATAAATCCTACTATTAAGAAACCAGAATTCTGAAACATTTTCCAAAGATGTCCCAAAATGTAATAAAATCTCAAAGGTGAAATGTTTCATAAGTATTGGAAAGTTAAGAAAAGGCAAATAAAATAAATATATTTTATGAAAAGTTAAAAAATCTAATTAAGCATATGCAATAAAAGGGGAACTAGAAGACTTACTGAGGTAGTGTTGGTTTAAAATACCGTATGTGATTTAAAGGTATGGGTTCATACTTCTTCAGATGTATATTACCAAATACACCAAAAAGCAGCCATAATCCTCCAACAAAATCTACTGGATCCCCTCCACCATTTACTTTCCATTATTCCCCTTCCCTTCTGTTTACCAAATTCTACAGTCAGATCTCTAGGTTTTGTTTGAGTTAGATTATCTGTTCCTTTGTTTTGTGGGAAATCATCTGGTATTTTTACTTCCCTTCTGACTTATTTCACTTAGCACAATCTTCTCCAATTCTGTCCATATTGTTGAAAATGGTATGGTTTTCATTTTTTATATATTGTACATTGTATATAAATTGTGGACAAATACCAAATCATTTTAATCTAGTCATTTGTCATTGGACACCTAGGTTGTTTCCATTAATTGACTATTGTAAATGTTGCTGCATTGATCATAGGTGTGCATATACCCAATTGAATTAGTGGTTTTTGTATTCTTCAGAATGGTTTTGTTGTATCCCATGGTAGATCTTTTTTTTTACTATTTTGATAATATTCACTTCAAATTAAAAAATTACAGTTAAAAATAACATTTGCCATAGTGGCTGGTCCATTCCTACCATTATATAAAGGCAATTTTTCCTTCCACATCCTTACCACATTTGTCTCTGGTCTTTTTGGTATAGTCATTCTCATAAGTGGTATCTCAAGTAGTGGAATGTTGTGTTTTTTGTTTTTTGTTTCTATGCATTGTATGGTTTTGGTCTTACCTCCACTTATTTCTTTTGCATGTAACTGTCCAAGTTTCCCAACTACAATATGTGAAGAGCTTTTCCTTTTTCCAATGTATATATATATTGTCCTCTTATTGTCATAGGTTAATAACTATGTAAATGTAGATTTATTTGAGAGCTCTCAATTCTGTTCCATTGGTTTATGCAATTTTTTCTATTTTTAGTCTAAACACCATGTTGTTTTGATTATAATAGATTTGTGGTTCAGTTTTTAAGTGGGAATATGATTACTCCATTCATTTTTCTCAGAAATTCTTTGGCTTTTTACAGTCTTCTTTAGTGCTGTATAAGATTCAAAAAAGTTTTATTTTGAAACATTGGAAAGCTTGATAGAGATTTTATTGAATCTTTATATAGATTTTGGCAAGATAACTACCTTAATAATGTTAATTGTTCTAATCAATGAGCAGGCAATCTTTTCCATTATTTTTTGTTGTCTATATCTTCCAGCAACTCTTTTAAATCAATCAAAAATCCTGAGCAGGTATTTTAGACTGGAATTTGAAGCAAATTATATTAATATACTAAGAGATTATAAAACATAAAGAATACAAAGGAGGTTTAAGCAGGGAGATGGAAATTCTAAGAATGAGTTAATCCTGGGAAAAAAATTCTACAACAAAGTGAACTATGCCTTTGATGGGTTCATCAGTAGTCTGAAGATGCTCAAGGAAAGAACTATTAAACATGAAGATATCAATAGAAACTTCTCAACTGAAAATCAGTGTGCGAAAATAATTAAAAATTGGATGCCTAAGATCTATGTAATAATTATAAAAGTTAGTATACATTTAGTAAAGATATCAAAAGAACAAGAATTAAGGAAAGTAACAGAAAAAAAAATATGTAAAGTGGCAATGACTGAAATTTACCCAAAGTAAGGACACCAGACCACAAATCCAGAAACCTTAGTGAACACAAAGAAAAATAAATATAAAAAGAAATCTACACCTATGCATAGTATACTCAAACTGGAAAACAAAAAGAAACAAAGAAAACCTTGAGAGAAGGGGGGACCTTCATTACCTATTCAGTAACAAAGATAAGAAATACATTGAACTTATCTTCAGAAACCAGGCAAGCAAGAATAGAGTGGTTATGAAATATGTAAGCATTGGGAAAGAAAAAAAATCCTATAATTATGTATTCAGTGAAATTTATTTAATAAAATGAAAAAGAAATAGACTTTCTTGAACAAATAAAAATTGAGAGAATTTATTACCATACAGCATTTCTGCCTGTAAAAATTGTTAGTGTTCAGACAGAAATAAAATAACGTAAGTCAGAAACTGGGATTTGTATAAAGATAGGTAGAGTATTAAAGTATTAAATTATGTGTGCATTCGTGTATATATATTCTTATTAACCTAATATTGCTTAATAATATTATATCAGATGATTATGGCTTACGCATAAGTTTTATAAATAAATGATAACAAAGTTATAAGAAACTAAGAATTGGAAATACTCGACTAAAATGCACTTGCACTAACCATGAATGTAGACTTAGAAAAGTTGTAAGTTTTTATTGCAAATTACAGGGTAAGAGGAACACACTACAAAATGATGAAGTAAATTTTTCAAGAAAATGTTAAAACACCATAATATGTTTGTTCCTACCAATGCAGAGTGTTGGTGTGATGGGAATTGTGTGTGACTATGAATGTATATATATCAAGATTTTATAGAGGTCATTGTGTCTTAGAAATTGAATTAATGTGGAGCTTTAGAAGGAAGATTAGAATATTCCTCAAGTTTATATCTTTAATGACTAAGAGGTGATGGTACCATGCACTTACATAAGAGTGATAAGAGTCATCATCAAAATGCATAATAAAGATGTTTGGGGTAATTATTATGTTCTTGATATCAATAGGAAAGAGATGACCCATCTTGATTTTTAAATATAATTTTGGGGCCCTCCCTGGTGGCGCAGTGGGTTAAAGCACTGCACTGAAAAGCTAAAGCCACTTCCGCATGAGTTCGATTCCCGCCTGCCCCGGAGGTGACCACATGGCGTGGCAGACTTCTCCTGACCCGCCCGCTGCTCTCCTCAGCGGGAGTGTACTTCGTTGATCTGCCTGTTCTGCTCCCCACTCTGTCTCTGGTGAAGTTTCTCACAGCCCCTGAGTCTCTGGCCTGTACCCCAGTTCTGTATGTACAAATAAATAAATCTTTAAAAAAAAATTTTGTGTTCACTAGTATACTATTTCAAGTTTTACCTTTATGACATACAAATGAATGAACCAGATTCTGGAAATACTGTATACTGTCTTTTTAAGGATTTGTTTATTTGTGCATACATAACTGGGGTACAGGCCAGAGTTTCAGGGGCAGTGGGAGGATTCACCAGAGAAAGAGGGGAGAGCAGAACAGGCAGATCTACAAAGTACACTGCTGAGGGGAGCAGTGGGAATGTCAGGAGAGGTCTGCCATGCTGTGTGAGTCACCACCCTGGTACCAGATTGAACTACTGATGAGGTGGCTGTGGCTAGCTTCATAGTGCTGTGCTTTAACATGTTGCACCAACAGGGAGGGCCCTGCTGTATACTATTGATGGCTCTTAATGTTTTCTGCTTAGGGAAAAAGTTGACATATAATTCAGTATTTGTATGTGCTTCACATATGCAACTCATGTTGGCTCAACATTAAACTAGCTTGTAAAGTAAATAATAGCTTAGAGTCTAGGGCATTATTGTCAACTGATGGCTAGTTATTGTAGTTCATGATCCAGAAGTGTAGCTTTTAAGTCCTTCATGGTCATTTGAAATGTTTGATGAGTTTTACCTTAGAACTATCAATGAGCTATTAAATTCTGCTTTTATGTTGCACTTAGTTTGTATGTCAATTGGTCTCTCAGTAGGCATATGACTATATAACCAGGTGGTGTCTGAATATGCTGAAAATCTTTAGAGAATGAGGGAAGATCGTTACATAGTTAAGGGAGCTATAAATTGAACAAAGGCTCATTTAATCATTTGAGTGGTCAGAGAGATACTATTCATCTATAATTTGATTGATTTGCTATTTTCTGCTTAAACACTGAATACAGAAGGATGAATTGAAGTCTGTAATTATCTTGGTTTGTGATAAATGAAAGCCTTATTCAGGTCATTGATATTTGGAATTAATATTGAGCATAAAGTGTATGTTTTAGGAAAAAGATGGCAGTGATTAATATGCTCTGGAATACCCAATCACAGCAAAGCTGTATGATGATTAGAGTATAAAAATGCATTATGTATCTAAGTAATTTTGTAATAGCAACAGAAAACAAACTTCTAGTTTAAAGGGGGGCCCAGATGGTCAATTTGAATACAGCATTTACTGCATTATGACGCTTCTTTAAGAAATTAATAACTGAAAGTGTGGTTTGATATATTGATCCTAAAAGAATTTAGAGATAGTGAGTTGTAAAATTGTCTTAGATGGAGTCATAGCAGTTTATAAATTTTTCTGAATTCTTGAATTCTGATAATAGTGCATTTTGTGACTGTTTTTACCAGGAATATTGATGACCATTGAGTTCTTTAATAATTGATATGATCACTATAGTATTGTGTAAGAGCTGTCAATTCTGAAAGTGTGATTGTTTTGCATTAGAATTGCATTTGAGTGATTTTGTTGATAGTTTTCTTTGATGTTGCTGTCTTTAATTAGTTTTTTTCTTTTAACTGTGGTAACATTAGGATACTCCCCATTAGGTATCACCACTGTAAGTTATCCACTATCAAATCACACTACCGTTCATTATGCGTCCTTCCTTCTTTGTTCTTTCTCTTCCCCCATCCTTCCCCACTCTAGATGCTTCAATTTTGTAGTCAGCTCATAAGGGTTAGCTTTTAAATTCATATTTCTCTAATTATTAGTTGATTTTTCTATGTCCCACATATTAGTGAAATAATCCAGTGTTTTTATTTCACTTAGCATGATCCCTTCCAACTCCATCCATGTTACTGCAAATGACATGAGTTTATCTGTTTTTGACTGTTGAGTAATATTTCACTCTGGATGTATACCACATCTTCTTGATACATTCATTTGTTTAGGGACACTTTGGTTGTTTCCATATTTTGGCTATTACAAATATGCTACTATGAACATAGGAGAGCAGTATAGGAGTTTCTCAAAAGAATAAGAATGGATCTTCCATATGATCCAGAAATTCCACTCCTAGGTATCTACCCCCAAAATACAAAAACCTACACCTCTTTGTTAATAACTTTCAAACATCATTAAATGTGGGAGATGGACCTTAATTCAATTAATGCATTTCTTTCTTCTAGCCTCTTTCTTGTCTTTAAATTATGTGTCTTCAATAATTATTTGTCTTACTTTGAAGAATGAAATTTCAGGAGGCTCTGTATATACTTCCTATAGATTCATTGTTATTGTTTAAAGAGGGGCACAGATGGCCATTTTGAATTCAGCATTTCCTCTGTAATGGGGCTTCTTTAAGAAATTAAAGAAAATGTTGTTTAAACAATATTCACTTGCTGTTGTAGTACAAGAATAAAGAAAAGGTAGGGAATGTTGAAGAGGAAGATATGATAGTAGTAATAGATGACAATTTTATAAAGATTTATTTATTTATGCATACAGAACTAGAGTACAGGCCAGAGGTGTGGGGTGTGAGAGGATTCATTAGAGACAGAGTGGGAGCAAACAAGCAGATATACTGAAATATGCTGCTGAGGGCAGCAGCGGGCAGGTCAGGAAAAGTCTGCCACGCCATGTGTGTCACCTCTCTTGCCAGGGGTCGAACTTACACTGCTGTGGCTGCAGATAGCTTCATAGTGCTGTGCTTTAACCCATTGTGCCACCAGGGAAGGCCTTAGATGACATTTTTTGTAGAACCAACATAAACATTACCAATTGTAGAACATCTATGATCTTTCAAAATTTCGGCAAAATATAAGCAAGAATGTTTTAGAGAATCTGTTAGATTACTTGCTTCTGGCCCTCCCTGGTGGTGCAGTGGGTTAAAGCACAGCACTAAGAAGCTAAAGCCACTTCAGCATGAGTTCGATCCCCACCCTGGAGATGCTCCACATGGCGTGGCAGACCTCTCCTGACTTGCCCACTGCTCCTCAGCAGTGTACTTCACCAATCTGCCTATTCTGCTCCCCACTTTGTCTCTGGCGAATCCTCTCACTGCCCCTGCACCTCTGGCCTGTACCCAGTTCTGTATGCATAAATAAATAAATCTTTTAAAAAATTACTGGCTTCTGTATTTCTCTTCAAATTCACGCCAGAATACTGTGAGATGATAATTTAAAGTACATTTTAAAGTGTAATGATTTACTTACAATAGTCATTTACTATCAGGTTAACTCTTACTAATCTCTGCTGTAATGTATTTTCTTATAAATATTAGCCTTGTAAGGGGTAAGATGAAAATTGTATTACCTTTCTCATGATGAGATGTCTGTGGCTACCACAAGTGTAATATGGATAATACTTGGGAGATTCCTTAAGAGACTAAATATGAAATATAAAATTATTTTACCCTGCACTAGAAAGCAATTCCAGACTACTCAGCAATATGTTAATATTTGTTACACTGCTATCAGTTCATACTTTGAAAAGGGAGTTATTCCTTATTAACAAAGATTTCAACTTCAAGAATTATAACTTAAGAGGTAAATATATTCCAAGTCTTATTTTCTTTAATAATTCCAAAGCTAGAAAATAGACATCCGGGACCTCCCTGGTGGTGTAGCGGGTTAAAGCACAGCACTAAGAATCGAAAGCCAATTCCGCATGAGTTCGATCCCCGGCTGTCCCGGAGGTGACTACATGGTGTGGCAGACCTCTCCTGACCCGCCCGCTGCTCCCCTCAGCAGTGTACTTCATCGATCTGCCTGTTCTTCTCCCCACTCTGTCTCTGGTGAAGCCTCTCGCCGCCCCTGCATCTCTGGCCTGTACCCCAGTTCTATATGCACAAATAAATAAATCTAAAAAAAAAAAAAAGAAAGAAAATAGACATCCTATCTTACCAGCACCACTATTGTCTCCTAAAGACAGCATTAAGGTAGAAAGTATCAACACATCAATGTATTATAATGAATAAAATTTAATTTAGTATTTATTTAAACAAAATGATATTTGACTTAAAGGTTTCTCTTTGTTTTATGAGTAAAAAGCACAGCATATTATAAACGTGGGGAGTGATCACAAAAGGGATACAAATAAACGTGGATATAGGAATGTTTTTATCAGTTTTTACTTATTTTATTGAATCAACATTAGTTTACAGCTCTGTATATGATTTATAGGTATATGGTACAGTGATGATTTTAAATTATAAAGCAAGAATAAATCCTATAGGTACTATTAATTGCTTAAAGAGATACTGGTATATAACCTTTGATTTTTTTTTTAAAAGCCAGCAAGAACAAATTAAGTACTTTGTTTCTGTTTTATAGCCTATGTTAATGTGATTTCCATTTGTCTAAATAATGCAACAGATACCATAAATTTAACATGCTCTGTCTCTTTTAGGACTGGATCTGCCATTTATGATGATGCCTCATCCCCTACTTCCAGTCAGCTTACCTCCCGCATCGGTTGCCATGGCAATGAATCAGATGAACCATCTCAATACTATTGCCAACATGGCTGCTGCAGCCCAGATTCACAGTCCACTCTCCAGAGCTGGGGCCTCTGTTATAAAGGTAAGGATCATGATTTAGAAGAGGACAAGGTGCTAATTACATGTACATTTTGATATAATCTTCCACCACATCTTCAGTATAAGCACAGTTCATTGACTCAGTTGGTTAGTATATAGTATTGATGAGTTTGATTTCGAACTGGGCCTCCTAAGTTTTTTTGTTTGTTTGTTTTATTTTTTATTCCATGACCATCGATCTCACTGTTAAATAATTTCCTATCTGGCATTCGCCAGCATATTGTGTGGGAGCCATGACCAGACTAATGACAGAGTAGGAAGAGTATGAAATAAACATTCCCATTGCTAGGATGAAACAAAATAAACACTACATCTCTTTGGTGTTTGAGAGGTAGTTGTGGGATAGTAAATAACACACAAAACTTTACAGAAAGACATGAGTTCCAGTTCTGATTCTGCCACTAAGTAAGTAGCTACTGACCTTGCATATGACAGTTAACTCACCTGAACTTAGATCCTGAACTGTAAATTACCCCCCTAATTTAATCTGTTATCTGGAGACCATGTAAGTGAAGTACATATTGTGAACTGAAATATTATATAAATACCTATGATAATTCAAAATATCATTATTAAAATGCTATTATTCAAAATTCCATATCAAAATTCCAATTATCAACTATAATAATTCAAAGTATCATTATTAGAATGCTATTATTCAAAATTCCATATCAACAGAGTAATGAAACACAAATAGTATTTTATAATATCACCTTATGTTTACTAGTGACATGAACTTTTTGGCTTCTTTCCAAACACCATATGAGCTAGGCTTTTTTATATTTATTCTCTTTTGGAGAAATGATATAAGGGTATTTTTGTTTATAGTTGGTTTGTCTACTTCATATATAAGCTTATTTAAAAATAAAATCAGAGCCTTCACCAACATAAAATTGGATGTCACTTTTTAAAAGTTGACATTAGATCCCTTACTTATTTAAGTTCTGCCAAATTCATATGAATCATATTATGCTGAAGAGAATAGGGTCTACTTTCATGCAATAATTTTGAGCAATTGAAGTCAGTTGAAAACAATGTATTTTGAATGGCCTTTGATAAAACTCCTTCATGTATCTATAGAAGTAGGTTTTCATTAGATAAGGAACATTTTTAGATTTATTTCAGTGAGTAGAAAATGCCTTTAACATAGCGATTGTGTTTTGTTTTTGCAAAAGCACTGTTGTCTAGTCTTATTAATTTTAAAATAATATTTAATGAGATATATAGTAAAAGTCTTCAAACTAATTGACAATTTGGTATTTGTATGTTAACTTCATTCTTCCTTTCAAAAACAGAATACATTGGAAGTAGTGTGGCATAATGAATTAAGAACATGGACTCTGCAGTCAGACCTTCTGTCTGCCTGTCTATAAATTCTGTTTTCACTATTACTTGTTATGTAACATTAGGGAAATTTATTAATCTACCTTTGTCTCATTTGTCTCATCTCCCAATGAAGTCTGAATAATAATTATACCTACTTCGTAGTGTATACATGAGATTAAATGAGATGAAATTTGTTAAAATACTTAGAACATTATTTGGTACTTAGTGCCAAATATTTATCGTGTAATAACATTTTATTTATTATTCGAGTCAAGAATCCATATAAAATAGTGATTAGTAGGAACTAATATCATGATTGAGAACTAGCCTGTGAAGGAAGTCACGTCACTTACATTCTTATTCATAAACTTTTATCAGTACTGGAAATAAGAGTTCCCCTACAATTAGGTATACAAACAGGTATTGAACCCTCTCTCTAGAGAGTTTTCATTTTCCTGTAATGCCTATTTTGATCTTGATACCATAGAAGTGGTTGATGATCTGGTGGAGGTTGTAGGGGCTGAGAAGGGGTAGTTATCATAATGTCAAAATTGTTCTGATTATTATTTTAAATTATCCTTGAATATTTACATACAGATGATTTGTTCTTTAGTTTGAACTATGTGCATCTACACACAATATGAAAATACCCTTAGCCCTTCCTTCCATCCCCAAATGTTATTTTGTGCACTGAACAGAGTTGTTGCATTAATGAATGAAAACAAATTATTTACTGGTTGCTAAACTTTGGGAAGTTATTCCAATAGAAATTATCAATACTAATATAGACATCTTAATTCCAAACTGGAAAACCTATAAAAGGTAGTAAATAAATAATGTTATCGTTGATGATGTTGCTGTTGTTTTTACCAAAAACTAGCTTTATGTTTATGTCAAGTATAGTCTAGTTCTGGCTCAGATCCCTCTGTTAACAGTCTAGTTCTGGCTCAGCTACTAACATTTGTAGATAATAACTAATATAACTATAACATGAGCTGGACATTGCATTATGATCATTAGGCTTGCAGAGCTATTCATCCTTCACTTAAATCAGCGAATATAGCAAAAGCCTCAGAGAAAAACAGGTCAAATAAATGACTGGAATGAAAATCTGTTCTTTTTTCTTATGACTGTTGGCCACCTGCATTTCTTCAGAGAAGTGTCCTTGTAGCTCTTCTGCCCCTTTTCTGAAGGGGTTGTTCAATTTATTTATGTCGTTTCATCAGCTCTTTGTATATCTTTGTGATCAGTCCTTTGTCATTAGTATGGTATGCAAAAATTTTCTCCCAGTATGGTGTCTCTTTGTTTTGTTTAATGTCTCTTTTGCTGTATAGAAGCTCTTTAACTGAGGTAGTCCCAGCTGTTTATCCTTTCCTTCACTATCCTTGATGTATCTTTAAAGATGTTACTGAGGTGAGGTTTCACTCATAACAGAAGTATAAAGGATCAGAGAAAAAAAAGCAATTGTAATAAAGTAAAAATAAAAATTAACAAACAACTATAAACCAGAGATATTCTATGAGGGTGGAGAGGGGGATAAGATCAAAATTGGAGTGGGAAGAGCACATGGGACTATGGTGATGGCACATGGGTGAATTGGTGATGGGAATTTCACTGGAAATACAATTGAGACGAAAAATGTACAAAATGAAATATGATGTTAAAAAATATGTATTTATTTATATAAAGTAAAGAAATTCTATTTTCTATACATGACATTTAAGTGCAATATATTTTCTGCATCTGTGGGAAACTCCGTAATATTGATGTGCCATAGATTTCTCTCATAGCAAATCTAAGAAAATTAATAGAAAGCTGATATTTTGTTATTTACCAATAACATATGATTAGCTGTAGGTTCTTTTGTTTGATTGAGCAGCTGGCAATTAATGAATTGATAGTAAATGGTCACAAGACAATGATATTAGCATGTGAACATCTGGTATTAAAATTAGTCGATAAAGAGAGATGTTTGTATAAAATAATTCAAATTCACTGAAAAATCACTAGTTGAGTCTTATTGTCAGTACTTTGGAAAGATAAATGTATTACTAGCTTTTAGGACATGTAACAAAGATGCATTATGTAGGAATTTAGAGTAATTTGTGTATTTTTGCTTGTTTATGTCCCTACTGGACTGTCCATTCTTTCACTCCAGGATATTTACATTCTATGAACAGATACTATGGCTGATTCCTTTAAGCTATCAGCCTCTTCCAGAACCAGGTAATCCAATTAAAGAGGTGAGAAGTCCCTCTGTCCAAATATCAGGTAGTTTACACATAGGGTATGTTTATGATTTTGGACTCTTGCATGGTTACATGTTGTCATTTTATCCCTAATCAGGCATCGTTTCTTATATATGATATTATATTATGTCTTCTAATTCAAAATTTTTATTATTCATTCAAAACCACTGCATAGTGAAAACTCACAATAGTTGGAATATTTTTCCCCTAATCAGTAAGTTATACTTTCAGAGATAAAAGACAATTGTTGGATCACTGTTTCATACACTACTGAACTATATATATGATGATAACACCAAGCCTACAAATTCCTTTTTTTCCTCTTTAACCACATGCACTTCCTGCCTTTTCTATCTCAATTCATGAAAACCAACTATGCTCATTTATGTTAATGTAAATACAATTGTAAATTGGTGATTGTGAAACACAGTCCAATTCTTAAATTAATTTTTAAGAATTTATTATTTTAAGGATATATAAAGTGCAATGCCTCTAATGTATTTAGAGATACCAAATTTTGTCATCAAATTCTTCCTCAAGGTAAGTGGTAAACCAAGCAAGCAGCAACAAAAAATAAACTTTATTTTCCTGTCCCAGATTTTATTATTAAAAATCTGTCAACTTACAATCTGTTCTGTTTCTGCAGACCTCTGGTGACAGTACAGAAGGAGCACATCAATTTAATATGAAATTTAATATTAATATGACAAATGCATGAATAAAATATCTAGCATTCAGATAAACTTCCAAAAGCCACTTCTCAGCAGTGAAATGCCATTAAATCCTTTAGGAGCTCATTAATAGATTAACATTTGGAAGAGTAATTATAGTGAGAGTTGAATTCCAATTAAATAAAAATAAAAAGACAAATTATATAATCCCTCTGAATGCTTGATAAGAATCAATATAATAAAATATCAGAGATAATAATTTAACACTTGAATGACTGTTATGACAAGATAACTACACATATGTACACATAGATAGAAAACCATGTTTCATATGCATATGCAAGTATTTCATAAGTCCTGTGTATACTATCATATTTCCAAGGACACAAAGGAATATGTTGAGATAAAATAAAGAATCTCCATGAAAATGAGCAAAGCTAATATTTTAGCAGTAATAAAGTAAATCCTAAATCTAATAGACTATTAAACATTGTGTAAAAGTGAATCTTTTAAATATTGACCCTGCTTTTAAGATCCAAACGCACATTCAAATAATAATATCGATTTCTTTGATTATTTGTAATATATCCTCATTCCACAAAGGGATATTGTATGATGGAAAGCAGACAGTATATATTAATGAGTAATATATACTATATTCTATAGCATCTCTTTCTTTTAGGCATAAGTCGAAGTATAAACAGACATGATAGCATGTAAGTTTTTATTGCAGCTAA